AGGGTTCAGAGGTTCAGGGTTTAGGGGCTGATAGGGGTTTACAGGGTTCAGGGGCTTAAGGGCTTAGACCGGTGTACCACGCTTCCTGCTCACCCTGCGGGATGCAACTGACCGAACCCTGTCACCGACTGATTAATTACCCTGGCGCGATCGTTTCGATGGATGGTCAGGACACTTCGGCGAGTGGAGGAATCGCATTTTTGGCAAGGCTGGGCTATGGCCACGCGAACTGAGGAACTTGCAAGCCACGCAGTACTTATTCACGCATACCCCCTTCGCGTGGTAGGTCCGCTGCATGCATTGTGTACACACGCGAAGGTCCAGCTCGCCTCCGGCTTAGGGTAGTGTTTCGGACACGCCCTGGAAACTTATCGGATGTCGTTGCCGTTGGCAGGACTGCTGATCGAGAAGAACCCGAAAGCAGACAGTCGCTTCGACTCTGCGGCCGGCTGTTTCGGCTGCGCGGTCTCAGCACTTCCTTACATGAACCCTAAGGTTCCCTTATATTAGAGCCCCCTAAGGATTCCTCGTACCCTCCCCCCTCCTTAAGGATCCCATAGAATGTGTGTTGCTGCTAACACGAAAACTCTTTCATAGGACTGCAGAAAGGGTGCGTATCAGGGCATTGAAGACGAAAACCGGACTTCTTTATTCAAGCTCAACAGGTTCTACTATTATCAACAGCACCTCATCATTACTGCTCATCGTCATTGATCATGATCACCTCTGATTCGTATTATTGTTTCTGTCAGTTATGAGTACGGGGTTAGTCATTGGAACGGGTAACAGTTAAAGCCAAGAAAGTTGAAAGCAAATGTCGACATATGTTTAGGGCTCAAGGCTTGCTGTGTGAGGTTTAGGGTCCAGGGATATAGGGCTTGTCACAGAGTCGAAGACAAGCTTAAGAACAAAGTCGAGACCCCAAACCCGATAAAGCCTAGACCCGCCTTAATGAAGCCAAGCCCTCTGCTTCAGATCCGAGGTAACAGGAGAGTTCCGAGGTCCGCTTGAACGTTGAGGATCATATACGAGCAACTGGGAGTATATAAGGTCCCTAACAAAACTCTGAAAACAGCGCTTACACATGCACATACCTAATAAGCTTTTTCTAAGCCTACATAGCTCACCCCGAACTCGAATTCCAAAGCCTTTTCTTGACGGGTTCGCTTACCGGATGTTTGCGATGGATACCGGTAGATAAGACGGGAACCCAGGCCCCAACAAAAATATCAAACGAACCGTTCCCTCTTCTAGAACCGTGTAGTACCCTTTAAAGGGAACCCTCTTCTAGACAACTATAGTACCCTTTAAAGGGAACCCTCTTCTAGAACCCTACAGTAGTAGTGTAGGGCTTTAGTAATTGCATTAAGGTTTTGGGATACATTATGCTATAATCATAATAAGGACCCCCGAAATAGTAAAGGTAATTAGTAAGGCCCCTATATTCCTTGGTAGAGTTATACTGTAAAGGAAGCCTGTTCTAGAACCCTATAGTACCCCTTAAAGGGAACTCTATTCTAGAACACTAGATAGTAAGTACCCTTTAAGGGATTGCTGTTTTATAAAGGAGCTAAACCCTAAACCCTAAAACCCTAAACCCTATTCTAGAACTCCCAAAAAAGGAAACCCTCTTCTAGAACCCTATAGTAACGTAGGCCCCATATATTACCAAACCCTAAACCCTACACCCCTAAACCCTAAACTCTAAACCCTGAACCCCTAAACCCTAAACCGCTACACCCCTAACCCTTAAACCCCTAAACCCCAATAAGCCCCTATAAACCCTAAACCCAACCCCTAAACCCAAAGCCCCTAACCCCTAAACCCTAAACCCCTATAAACCCTAAACCCCCAATAAACCCGATAAACCCCCCTAAACCCTAAACCCCTAAACCCCTACACGCTCACCCTAAACCCCCAAACCCTAAACCCCCAAACCCTAAACCCCTAAACCCCAAACCCCAAACCCTTTCCCCTAAACCCCTATAAACCCTAAACCCTAAATCCCTAAACCCCTATAAACCCTAAACCCCTAAACCCTGAACCCCTAAACCCCAAACCCTTTAAAGGGAACCCTAAACCCCTAAACCCCTATACCCCGAAACCCAAAACCCTTTAAAGGGAACCCTAAACCCTAAACCCCTTAACCCTGAACCCCTAAACCCCAAACCCTTTAAAGGGAACCCTAAACCCTAAACCCCTTAACCCTGAACCCCTAAACCCCAAACCCTTTAAAGGGAACCCTAAA